ATCTGTTTCTTTTTTTACTTAATATCAAAATGGAACAGTTAAAAGATATACATGCAATGAGGTTGTAGCTTCTAGTTCCTCTTTTATATCTGACTACTTCCACATAGTAAGAAATTCTGATTTTGACTTATTGGCAGATACTTAAAAAGTAAAATTCAACCTGAGGAAAAGCATAGGTTCCACTTCTTCAATAGTTTTTTCTTTCGGAAACTTGCTGATCTAGACAAAGATCAACCAGTTGCTTGTGAAGGAAAGGAAGCATTTCAGCGCGTTCTTAAATGGACAAGGAAAGTGAATGTTTTTGGGAAGGATTACATTTTCATTCCTGTAAACTACAGGTGAGAAAGTGTGTTACATTGTTTTTCATGCAGATTGGAGAGTAATCCAATGATACCAACTTCTTAATATGAATTATTACCGCATCTTCTGCAGACTGCACTGGAGTTTGATTGTCATCTGTCATCCGGGTGAAGTAGCTAATGTTGAAGGCAAGACCTTTTATGATTTGGATTTATGTCTTGTATGTACCATGGTTATCTCTATTTCAGTTTATTTTCTCTAATTATCTTGCAGATGAGGAAATTGAAAGTTCTCCCAAGGTTCCGTGCATCTTGCACATGGATTCAATTAGAGGAAGTCATAGAGGCCTCAAGAATCTTGTTCAAAGGTAGCTTTTGATAGCACAGCTTCATGATCAGTCTCCTTCTGGTCTATTATTTGCATCATAATGTTATCCGTTTTCTTTTTTTTTATCCTGGCCATGTATCCGTATTATGTAGTATCTTCAACAAAAGCTGTTATGAATTTGTATATGCCTCTATTTTAGTCGTTAGATTACAGTCAGTTGATGGGGAAATTGAAATGTCCATCCAGAAAATGATAAAACCGATAAAAGTAAAGGTGAAGCCTGGTGTCATGAACTAACAGTCAAGGATGTATGGATGTGTGCATAAAATTTTACTACTTTATCAGTGTCAATTTGCAACCCTGTCCCATGTTTTGAATCCTCAAAAGGAGGCCATACTGGTCCTCTGTGAAAAGTCAATACAGATAAGTTGGTGACTCTTTTACATTTCTTATGAAAAGAATTAAATATTTTTTTTAATGCAGAGGTAGTTCCATGGATTGGTGGTTTTGTAATTTAATGTGAATGTATCTGATAGTATTCCCTACTGAGCCAAGGTTTCTCAAAATAGCCCTAGAACAGAGGAAAAACCTGCTGATGGATTTGTGGCTTATGGTCACCTTGTAAGCTGTTATGTGAACTTCTGTATGAAAAAAATTCATTCCCCTTAACTCATTGTAAAATTTTCTTTTGGTACAAATGATGCCTAAGGACTGGGGTGGAGGAGGGGCAGATTCAAAATCTGGCCGTAAGTTTTACTAACAAAATTTAAAAAAAAAATAACATTTGCATAAGCTCACAACTTGAGTTGTTTGATCTATAATACATTATGGCATAACTATAGAATTCTTATTATCTGAATGATATGCTATAATTCTGAAGTATGTGTCCTCATGCTGTTTGAGGCTAAGGATCACACCGATTGCCCTAATATTTAATAATGTCGTGAAATGACAGATACCTATGTGAAGAGTGGAAAGAGAAGCATGGTGGGACAGCAGAAAATGTTTCTTTGAAATTTCTACATTTGCGATTTTTCGCATTGGAGGTATCCTTATGTTTTTTTTTCAGTGAAATCCATTATCATTTATTAAGGAACAAAAACTCTTTCTGCTGAAGATATCTATTTTTCCCATAAGGGGTAATCTTTTTGACATAGTTGTCTAACACGGTACTAGAGTTCAGATTGTTGGAGGTCCTGGGGTTGAAACCTCTAATCTGCCTTTCCCACTGGTGTTGACCAGTACCCTTGTTGGCTTGCTTGTGAAAACATTTTAGACGCTTTAGTTTTATTTATTTTGATTGGAGGGAAGTTACGTATTGATTGTTCTGTGTATACAGTTAGTTTTAGTTCTCTTTTATGGACATTGTTGTCTATCATTCCTTGTGCTGTTTTCTTCTTAATAAAGTTCTGCATATTAGAGAAAAAGAAATTATTGTTTGCTTGACTTTTTCTTTTCTTCCAAATTGATTCAGCTGCCACAGCAGGAAAATTCATTTGATTGTGGTCTCTTTTTGCTTCATTATGTGGAACGTTTTCTGGAGGAAGCTCCTGTTGAGTTTAGCCCCTTTAAGAAGTTCTCCAACTTTGTAAGTGATCCTATCTCCTTTCAGCATAGCCTTAAACTTAAAATTATACATGTTCTGTTTCTGTTTTGTTTCCAAGACCTGTAGGGATGATACATTAAAGGAATTATTGGCATAAAGCTTTTTTGCCCCCACCCCCCACAATCATATTGTCAATGTCACATGCACCAAGCATATTATAGTTATATTTATACTTATATATGTAGGCACGTGAACATCACCAATTTTAATCAAGATAAGTTGGTCAGATTCTCATTATGCCTTCCTGCAAGATTTTTGCATTTGGCATGCCATTTTCTGACCCTGTGGCAGGGAACCCATCTAAGATTGCACCCCTGATGAGAACAGGCAGATACGGCCTAAGAATAATTGTTCTCTACAATTTCCTTGTGTTTTGGATGTGGAGGTAGGGAATCCACAGTTCTTGTACCCTGCCAAACTGGACTAGATAAAAATCTGTTCTTTGTTCACAATAGAAAAAACTAACAGTTCAAATTCTTTTTCATTGGAGAAAATCTACAGATGCATTTAACATGTTGTTGCTCCTTTTTTGTCCTTTTATCTTGTACGTATAATTTTCTATCTACACGAATTTTCATTTAATATGCTACAAACATGTTATAATTTTTCAGCTAAACAAAAATTGGTTTCCTCCTGCGGACGCTTCTGTCAAACGGTTTCAGATTAAGAAGTTAATATGTAAAATCCTTGAAGATCATTCTCAGGAAACTCTTATAGATGATTGTATTGATAAAGTTCCTTCCTCTCAAAGGCCCAACAAAACACACAAGGAAGAAACTGGCATAAAGTTTCCTGAAGAGATGCCCAGTCCAACAAAAACATTTGATGTAAATTCCTCTAGTTCCAATGCATGTGGGATTAAAACTTCGTTGTTGGAAGCTTCTCCTCCTATACAGGTATGGTCTTTTAGAGAATCAGTATTGGTTTTGAAGGAGTAATATAAACCGAGCACTTGTCTCAGGTTGGTTTCTGATACATATTATCTGCAGATTGCTGCTCGTAATCTGAGTTTGATGTCGCCAATAAAGGTAATCCTTTGTTTTCTTACTGATGAATCTAGAAGTTCCTTTGGTCTTTGGGTGTCTTAGTACCAGTTCGCTAGTTGGTAACATGTTGAGACTTGAAAAGACCTTTATGTGGAACTTGGCTGAAATATATTGTTGGGTGGCACTAGGAGCATGCTTCGCCAAAATTATAAGCTGTTCATATACCTGTTTGACCATGTTACAGGCCATTTCTACTTCTGCACATGGTCGTACTTGTGCTTTGTACTTATTTTATAGATCTCAAGTCTTTAACAACACAACGCTTACCAACACAGCCAAAGATAAGTGACATTCATGCAAATGACATTGACCCAACTGGAAGTATAAAGAAAATTATTTAACTATTTTGGTACAAGAGTATTTTGTGTAGAAACGACCACAATACATTGCAGAATAGCAACCTCCAAAATTTTTGATGTACAAACATGAAAGTGATAAACACACTCTGTTAGCGTCCAATAGTTTACCAGATACTTTCTATGTTGCATAAGGTTCCCAAAGAGTTCTCCTGATCATAATCAAGCATTAATGAGTAACACTGAATGGTGATATGGATTCACCAATAGTATTCTGTTACCAAAGAAGAGTACCCTCTGATATGAGCATGCATGCTCTTGGAATTTGCTTGCTCTATTGTTTAATCTTGTAGTTGGAGAGCCATGATATTGGTCTTAAACTGGTTGCAAATATTGCCTAACCAACTAAAATGTATGCACTTTATGTTGCTTGAAAACAGGAAGTTGAAGATACTGGGGATCAGAGTGCTGATTCATCAGTCGACATGGAAGATTGTGAACAAGGCTCTGGATCTGATTCTGAATCCTATTTCTTTAAAGGATTGAGTATCTCGAAAACATCTTCGAAGCATAGATTCTCTAAGCATATTGGAGATGCTGTTGATGGGAACCCAATATCTCAGACATCCAGTGCAGATTGCTCGATTATGGAAAATGAGGCATTTGACTATCCAAGGAAAACAGATACATCTGAATCTTCTTCAAGTGATGATTTCACAGCTTGTGTTGTGCTGGATTCTGAAGAGGAAGATGACAATGAGGTTCAATATTTATCTTCCACTCTAGAAGACCAACCTTCATTCCATCAAGTAACTGACTCAACTAAAATCATAAATCCGAAAGAGATTATGCCTTTGAGTAGTAAGGATCCAGTGTCAGATTCCTCCAACCAACAGGCTTCAAAGCGGCTACGGCTCACTCTTCGTGTAGATAGATGACGAAGACCTACTAGGAGCCTCATGAAAAAGTTGCATTTGTGAAGGTCATGTTGTAAATAGAGTAAGCGATATTTTACTGTGTTATCGATACTGCATAGCAAAAAGAAGTGTGAAGGGTAATAAGAGAATCGTACCGTACACTTGTATAGAGAGAGTTGGGGGGGAAGTAACTTTCTCTTTTATTTTTGTTCTTTTTTCTTGGGTCAAGAGGGAAAGTTACTTCTCAAAATACAAATATAGCAAGTTTTGTATTCATATTAAAAACACTTGGACGAAAATATTACCCTCCTCTTACATGAAAATGCGAATAAATTTTAAATTAATAACAATCCAACAGAACTCACAAGTGGTAACCATAAGTACACAAGTTAAAATAATACTCAAAGGAGTACTAGTACATGATCAGAAAGAAACACACGACAAATGATATTACAAATATGTATTTAAATAGTGAAACAAATTAACTAAAACAAATATTTAAGAATATTCAAGGAAGGGTGGTTTTGTAGGGTGGAATGAGAGAAGGGAGGGGTGTTTCCTTGGGGAGGGTTGGGATGGAGGGCAATGTGGGCTTAGGTATGTCAGCTGGGAGATGGGGAAGAGGTGGAATTTCAGGCAACTTTGGCAACTCAGGCTTTGGCAAAGTTGGGAAATTAGGAATTGGTGGCAATTCAGGCTTTGGAAGCTCAGGGACATGGGGCTCTTCTGCCAACTTGAGACCTTCAGGCTTTGGCAAAGTTGGAACATGGGGTACCGGTGGCAGTTCGGGCTTCGGCAACTGGGGCAGCTCAGGCTTTGGCACCTGTGGCATCTCAGGCTTTGGCAATTGTGGCAGCTCAGGTTTTGGCAAAGTTGGGAAAGTGGGAAATGGTGGAAGCTCGGGCTTTGGAAGCTGGGGCACTTGAGGGAAGGAGTTAGTCTCCAGAAGAATGCGAGCCCCTGCAACCATTGTTTTGGAGCTCATTGAGGACAAGGTAAAAACCAAAAGTAGTGGAAAGACGAAGGCCGGGAGGCCATGAAAGGCCATATTTTGCAGCTAACTGATGATAATATTGGATGTATAGGAGGAAGGAAAGTTGTAGTTGTTGGATATGAGTTGTTGTGGTTTTGCTTTGGACAGTGAAACAAGTATTTATAGATACAACTTGGATGGATTTTGAGGTCTCAGATACGGTTTGGTCAAAGGGTGTTTGGTGTTGTTAGTTCAACTTCTGAACTGCAAATACTTCCATTTCATAACTTCCACAACTATATGTATTGCATGGACATCTATTAAGTCTTGGGAAGATATAAAAGGAGCAAGTATTCCAACCAACTTTGTTCAAAGCCCGCTCGTTTCATATTTTATGTTATCTTTTTATCCTAAAATGCACACAAGTCATTTTCCCCTCAACGTAGAGTGGTAATAGTTTGTTCAATCAATACTAACTCTTAGTATAATGGTTCCAACGGTGAAAGAGGTTTCGAGTTCGAATCTCATTCAAATTATTAAGGAAAAATATTGTTCAATCACTTCTAAAAGAACCAAATTTCATGGCAACTCATGTAATATTCTCTATGGATTGGACAAATTATGTATAGAATATGCATGGAGTGCACGTATCAAAGTACTTCTTATATTGACAACTTAGCCTCTTTTCTCATGAAAATAGGTCCATTGTTGGTTTCCCTTCGTTTTTTGACATTCTTTTTCATTTTTTCTTGGGTCATGAATCAAATTCCTCCCAACATCCTTGTTCATTTTGGGGTTCACAGTGCAATATTTTTAGTTCTTAGGCTTCAGGGTATTAAGAAATTGATAATTTTTCAATGTAGCATATATTTCCTAAAATGTGAAAATAAAAAAAAATATTTTTTTTAATATTAATATCTTTTTTTTTAGATTGGTACTTTAAATGTCTTGTTGATGTCTTTATTTGTACCGTTGAAGTTTATCTCACGAAGTTTCTCTTTGATAAAAAAAAAAATAATAATAATTTCTTCTTTTTTGTTCTTCTTTCCTGTTTTTATTGAGTTGGAACTATGACCAGTTGACGTGGTATTACTGCGTCAAATAATAATAATTCCTCTAATTCACACGTGTGTGGGACGGCTAACTTGTATTTGTTTGTCTATTCCATCTCTGAAAAAAACCATCTGAAACTCCGCGAACAGAGAGAAATAGCGAGAGAGAAAGAGAGAATGGGTGACGATAACGTGAAGGCAGAGGCTTTGGAGATACTCGGAATGTTCCAAGTCCTTCCGAGATTGGTTGTCTTTGACCTTGATTACACTCTCTGGCCTTTCTATTGGTACGTCCTTTTCTCTTTTTTCCCACTACAACCTGTTTGGTTTCCGAGAAAACTCAAGAAAAGTTATGTTTTTCCCCAAGGAAGCAGCGAAATGCTCGATTCTGTTCTCTTTTTGTGTTGGTTTATGTATAACCCAGATGACCAATGAATACGTTTAGTTGAATTTTCCCCTATAATTTGCTTTTCCTGTCATCTTTGAAATTTTCTTAGACTCTTGTGTATCTTTGAAAGTTTTTTTTTATACCTAATCTTCATATTTGTAATATACATTTTAATTTTTCTGGAGGATAAAATTAGTTTTGAGTTTTAACTACTGCTGCTTGATTATAACATTGGAAGTGAACACCCATAGCATTGAGCCCATGCATGTTCTCTATGGGTCAATGAGTTTCCCAGTTCAATTTTTAGTATTATTTTGTGAGAAAATGCATTAACACCCAAGTTTAGGAATTGGTCTAGGCAACAGCAGTGGGGTGAGATTTTGGAGGGTCTAGGCTACCCCCATTTGTAGCCTATAGCTAGCTATACATGGACACAAAGAAAAGAAAAGAGAATCCTTGAATTAAGAAATATGCCTAACATATTAGTACTGTTTAACATGTTCTCTTGTAACTCATTGTTTACAAATTTATGTTCAGCCTCGACTTACATCTGTGTTCTTTTTGCAGTGAATGTCGCTCCAAACGTGAAATGCCATCGCTTTATCCCCATGCTAGAGGTATATTGTATGCACTGAAGGAAAAGGGAATTGATCTTGCCATTGCTTCTAGGTCTCCAACTGCAGATATAGCAAAGACATTTATTGACAAATTAAGCATCAAGTCAATGTTTGTAGCCCAGGTGATACAGCAGAGCACTTTTCTTTTTCTTGGTGTTTTCCCTCCTTCAGACGATATCTTTTCTATATTCCTTTTTTTCTTTAATGTTTCAATTGGGATTAAGAGAGCTGGCCAAAGACATGCTGACTGTAAATCTAGTAATTGAATTTTACTTTTTATTTTGATTTTTTGGTTATACAGGAGATCTTTTCGAGCTGGACACACAAGACAGATCATTTCCAGAGAATTCATACAAGGACTGGGGTCCCCTTCAACTCAATGCTTTTCTTTGATGACGAGAATAGGAACATCCAAGCGGTAAGATTATGCCTGCCTTTTCACCATAATCATCGTCTCCCTTTGGCATCTTGAAATTAATATGAATCAAATTTAAAAATACATGACTTTTGCCAAAAGATTTGAAGTGAAGAAAAATGAAGAAAAAATGTTTGAATTATGAACTTGTTAGTGCTTCAAATTTTTATACTTGTGGAGGTTTTATATTGGTATGGTAGCACAATGTGTAAAGGAAAAAATCATCCTGTCATTGGGTAAGGTGAAGCTAAACTTCTGTGCATTCAAGAGAAGTGATTTGGGGTTAGTTTTTTAAGTTTTAACAACACACATGCAGACTTTCTGCAGCCCACATAGGTAAAGCTGAAAAAGGAGATTACAGGTCTAATCATAGGCAATTATGTCGACACACAAGGGCTGGTGTGAAACCAAAAGAGGCATTTGTGCTGCAGAAATAACCCCACCCTTTTCCCCTGCCATTTTTGCTTCTTCTTATCAGAAACCACTGTTTATCTGTAGTGTGACAAAGATTGTTCGGTGCCAAGAGATTTTGTATTCAGAATATTCCTGGCCTTGGTTATATCCTCAATTTATATGAGACTTGAATCTTGCACCCATTTATCAACACTTTGTGATGGTATTGACAGGTTTCAAATATGGGCGTCACAAGCATTTTGGTAGGTAATGGCGTAACTGTTGGAGCATTGAGGCAGGGTCTTACAAAATACTCTGAAAATGTGAATACATCTGAGAAGAACAAGCAGAAATGGCGCACAAAGTTCTCCAAAAATTCAAGTTCATCTGAGCAGAATGAAAAGAATTGAATCTTCCATAGATGTTGAATGACGTACAACTTCAGAAGTATTGATTTGTTCTTGTATTGTCAGGGATTATCGTGTGACGTGTGACAAGCGCATCCCTGTTATGATAACGATTTGTTGTATCAATTATCAAGAAATTCTCTAGACACTCCCCTGTAGCATCTGCCTCATCTCTAGACACTCAAGACGATGGTCAAGAAACTGTGATGTCATCCTAAAGTAGTATACGTATTTATTCGTTTACATATACACATAAGAACAATAAACAACTCCAGGGCTGAAATATCCTGTTCGAGTTTAGTTAGGTATTCTAAAAAGGGATTTGGAGATTGCCACAAATAGTTCAAACGTGCTCGAAAAGTGAAACAATAATCTAAAATTCTGCTTGGGCAACTGTTGTAACATGAAGAGAAGTGCTCGGGGAGCTTGTGAAGCAGGAGAGTAAGAGCATAGAAGTGAAAAAATCACCTGCTTACAGGGGTTCCTTTTACGCATCTATTCAAGGCTTAATTCATGGTTTTTTTTTTTTAATTGAAAGAAATGGAGACAAAATGGTGAAATGATCATGAAACATGCTAAGGAGAAGTCTTTGTTGCAAGCAAAGGCCCCCAATTGATCTCTATGAGCTGAATCTGTAGAAGACGAGGTGTCAATTTGAAAACCAGGATGAATTTTACTGATTGCGTTTGAAAACAAGTGATCCAGGATTCGGAATTGAAGAATTTAATTTCAGGTACATTATTGATTCTCGCATGCCGGAAGGAAAAGGATAAAGTTGGCACCATAGCAAAGCTCATAAGTTCTTTACACAGACACAGCTCTGAGAATATAAATGGACTCATACAACCGCACAATTAACAACGACTAGGCTCCTATATTCCCAAAAACAAAAGAGGGGCTGGCCTATTGCAACGCTTTGTGGTAACTCATACAACATACAGCAGAATATTACAAAATATTTGTCTGCCCTTCCTTGCCAACAGGTTCAAGCTCAAAGAGGTCTCGAGCCTTTTTTCCAAATTTCGAGTAACAGAACTTAAACTTCCTGCTATTCTGGCCACTGTACACAAAAGAAAGCTATTACAGTCAAATTTCCTACAAACTATTGATACATGAGAATTTATTCATCTTAAGAATTTAATCGTGGCATGATTACTCCTCTTCTCATGAATGAAATCACCTTATCCAACATAAAGGATGATGGATTTATGTGCTAGTTCCAGATTCTAGTAGCCCTCTACATTATAGTGTTATTAGCACACTTCCTCTGCACTAAAACAATGTATTAAGTCCCTCATCACATCGATTACGTCAGCTTCATTATGCAGTCAGCATGATCAACGGCTGTGGGAAATCCCTATACAATATGCATCCTATATCTAGCAAGTCGCCTATGCTTACATCAGTTTCATGTTCAGCAAATTTGCAAAGTGCTTCACTACATTGTAGCACTTACTAAAATATGCTTCAATGAGATGCTGAGAGCGTGAAACAGAACACACCACTCAAGGATACTGGAAAGAGCTCTGCTCTCTCTTCCCTTAAGTTAAGGAAGGACTTTCTCTCAACATCAAAGCACAATCTCTTAAACACAGAGATTTTGATCCTGCCATGACCCAATGCAGAATATGCATACTAAGGGAGGGGGGTGGGTTACATGAAAAACGACTAAATCTCCCAGTATATTAGCTAAAAATGTCTTTTATAATATATGAAAATCAAGAAAAAAATCATATGTTCACATTTTAAAACACATCATGGGTTTCTGAATTACCTTGTGCTCCAGTTAAAACTGCATTTCTTCTCTTGATTACAACTGCCGCTGATTCAACTCTTTCAGTGGTGATCTTCCAGCACTAGTGTCAAGTTTTTTTGCTGAGGCAGAGAAAGAAGCGTTTGCATTCTCTTCACTAAAATCATAGAGCTCATCATCCACTGTCAAATTCATTGCTGGTCCCACCTCTACCTTAGACCTTTGCAACATTGTTTCTAAAAAATTCATCATCTTCACATCATCACAAGTGAACTCACCAATATGATCACAGAATTCTTCCATGTGAACTAAAAGTTCTTCCCTTTCTTTTGATAGCTTTGTGGTGTATTGAAGGAGAACCCCTTTTTCAAACTCAAGCTGCTTGACTATGCCTTCCAGTCTCCTGTGTTCACCCATCAGTTTATCATTTTCCACTTTGTTGGCTTCCAATAAAGCCTGAAGTTCCTCTTCTTGTTGTTTTTGAGTAAACAAGGCTTCCTTCTGATGGATCAATCTTTGGCCCAAACCAGATACTTCCTCCTCCAAATCAACAATTTTTTTGTTCTTCTCTTCAATCACTAGCTCTGTCATGTGTTTGGCTTTCTTTAAAGCTTCAATTGTAAGCAGATTTTCTACGACTTCTGAAAAAGACAATACAAATGCACTTGTCAAGTCTTCCTCTAATGACGATGCCAATACTTGGAGATTTTTTATGTTTATGTTCTGGTCTTTCTCATTTATAACCTTGAAAAGCCTCTCTTTCTCTTGTCCAACAGATTTCTCTGTATCTATGCCTGCAAGAATTGCTACCTCCGCTTCTCTTTTCATGGACTCTTGCTCCATCCATGTGATATCTTTTTGGAGATTTACTATGCAGCTATCTTTCTCCTTCACATTTTTAATAAGGTCCTCTTTGTCTTGTGTTAAGGCTTCCACTTCCACTCTCTTTGCTGCAACTGTAGCTTCTAGAAGGACAATCTGCTGCTGTAGAACTTCAACTTTATTGTTTTGCTCCTTGATAATGGTGATAAGGCTTTCTTTCTCATGCTTAAGGACTTCTTCATTCTCAGATTGTGCAAGAAGTGAATTCTCCATTTGTCTACATTTTTCTTGATTTTCTTCACAGCACACTTTCAAGCTTTCAGCACTAGACTCCAAATTCTGTAACTCATATTTTAATTGACTTACTTCACGAATTTTCTTAGCCAGCTCAAGATTTGTCTTTTCTAAAGCCTCAGAAACATCTCGTTTCTCACCTTCCATCTGCAGAAATTTCTCTTCCATGTAAAGTTGATGTGCAGATGATTCCTCAAGCATCATTTTATGTTGTTGAATCTCTTCCTCCATGATAACCTGCTGTTGTTCAGTGAGTTCCAAGGACCTTACCCTCTTCATTAATTCTTTGACTTTCTCATGTTCTTGTTCAAGCTGAAGATGAACATTTCTTAAATCACTGCTCTTCATCTCCAACTGTGTTGTAAGTAGAGAGATCTTGTCATCCATTCTGTTGCACAGCTGCATTTCAGTTTTTGCATCAGATCTTTTGGAGTAAGCCTCTGAGAATTCTGATTTATAGATCGTAAGTACTACTGAAATCTCTTCTTTTAGAACCTCAATCATCGAATGGTAGCTTTCTAGCTCCATTTGAAGCTCCTGTATCTGCTTCTCTTTACCTTTCAATTCAGAGTTATGTCTACTTATATCTCCTTTCAACTTTTCTATTTGGAAACTCAATTCAGATTCTTTAGCTTTCAGAATTGTGGAGCAGTTACTATGTACCTGCTCTAAGCCCCTAAGCTTGTTGCGTAGCTTTGTTAGGGCAGTTGACCCATAATTTCTGATTTGAGCTTCTTGTAGTTCTTTTAGAGATTCTCTCAATTCCTGATTCTCTTGCTCAAGGTGAACAATTCGAAATTCCATTTCTTTTGTGAATGGTTCTTTTGTTGACATCGAGTTTCTTAGCTTTGCAATCTCTTCATCCCTTTGAACTGTCAAGCTTTCAAATTTTGACCTTTCTTGTTCACACTGCACAAAGACATCATAACGTGATTTGAATTCGGATACTTCAATCTCCAAAAACTTCCTCCTGCTTTCTTCATGAGCTAAAACTTGGTTGCACATCTCTAAACGTTTTTGAACACCTTCAAGAATTCTAGTTTGGGAATCCAAGCTTGTCTGCAATAAAGAGATCTCTTCAACCAGTGCTGATTTTTCCCTCTCCCACTCCTCTTTACTCAACTGGAACTGATCTTGGAGCCTTCTATGTGCTTCTTCAAGATGTCTAAACTGTTCTTTCTTCCATTTCAATTGATCATGAGCATTTCTATTTTCCTCCTCTAGTTCCAATATGATATCATCTCTCTGTCTCAGTTCTTTGGCTTCTTGAGACTTCTGCTCTGCCTCGAAACAGTTCCTCTCTGAAGTTGATAAGAGTCTTTTGAGGCCCTCAATCTCCTTAGTACTGGCACAAAAATTCTGCTCCAACTCTTTGTTTCTTTCTGTTACTTCATCTAAGGCAAATGCCAACTCCTTATTTTCTCCTTCCAATTTGTGCAATTTGTTCTCACTATCAACTCGAAGTTTTTCATGCAAAGAAGTCAAATGCCTAAGAGACGATTCTTTTTCACGCAAACAAGATTGAAGGGTTTCCGAAACCTGCTTTGCTTGAGAAATTTCCTCAAGCTTGACAATTAGTTCTTGAGCTTGTTTCTCAGTCTCCTGCTTAGCTTCTTGATACTTGATCAACTGCTCACTGTGAGCTTTCTTCAAAGCCTCAGAAAGTTCGGTCTTAACCCGGACTTCAGTCTTGAGCCTCTCGATCTGTGCTTTGACATCATCTAATTCTTTATATACGTCCCCCATTTCCCTTTGATTGTCAACTTGTGAGAATCCCTGCTGCAGTAAAATTTGAAGCATGAAGAAACATGTCAATGAGAGCATTTAAATATACAAAACTCAGAAGACACATGAGAAGTAAAAAAGCAGATTCCAGTAATTAAGCCTAAGAATTCTCTGAGTTTTATGTCCATTTTACAATCCCACATGTCCTGAGTATAGGATTACTTGTTTGTATACGAATCATTAGGCACGCTGTTTCCCTGCAAGCCGCACGCAGGTTTTGCAGAAGCAATTCCTACCAATGAGTTCACATCTTTTGGTATCAAGGCATACACCAGACCTAGTATGGGATTGGGCATAATATGGTTATGACTCTAAGGGAACCTGAGGGGTTGCTTGATGCAGGAGCATCCATCCTAGCCAAAAAGGACTAAATTTTAGCTATAATAAATTATTATGTTAATTATTTTGCTATCTTTACTAGGATTTAGTTTAATTTCCTTTGTCAGTTAGGGTTTCTTAATAAACTAAGAATAGGAATGCTAGGCTGATGTACTCTAGTATAAATAGGCTATTAAGAGGCTCTTGTATTCAGTTTTTATCAATATAATTTCAGACTTTATTCTATAGAGTTTCTATTGGGATTTTGCCCTAGAACTCAATTATCTTCGTTCCAACTTCAATTCTACAGCCTTATCCTTCTATTCTCTGTGTTTTTGGGTTGTTTGGGTCACTGGACAGTCGCTTGTAGCCGCTGCCCTGCATCATTGCTGCCATTCGAAAGTTGGATCTGCAAAGTCACGCAACTGGGAACAATGGGCAATCATGGATGGTTATTGCACACGGTGAAGTAGAATGTTATATGTGCCTCTGCAATCTCACCTAAGTATGGAAATTAGTTGCTAGAACTTTTGTGCACCTTCACCTTGCAAGTCAGTTTTGCATAGGCAAACTCTACCCCTGAGTTCATTCAGACTTTCCAATATAAATGATGCAAAAACTTTAAAGTAAAAATAAACCTACTGCAAATACACAAACCCAGATAAAAACACTAGTAGATCTACCCAAATCCACAAATTGGGTTCCCAAACAAATCTATATCAGAAACAAGTTGAGGGCAATGGAGCAATAGAACAAACCCAAATTAGGATTTTTTTATCAAAACAGTTGACTGAGTACCCAAATTTATACTGATTTATAGAATGTATGTATGAATATATGGGCAAAGGCAAACAAGCCGAAGCTCGTTATTCTAGATTCAATTTTCTTTATTGAAAGATTTGGCCAAGAAGAAACCCTAGAGCAGGGAAAAAAAAAAAGGGCTTTTGATAAGAAAGTAGAATCTGGACTTCATTGAAATGATATGAAAGAAATTTTTGAAGAAAGCGAGAGATACCTGTGAGTCGCAGAGTCGGAGACGAACCACAAGAGGTTTTCAAATTTGAGTTGGGCGGGAAGCAAGCTGTGTTCTTCTATAGGTTTTTCAAATCTGAGTAGAGGGCCAAAATGGGGAATTTGCTTTTTACGTCTTCTCCCCACATTTCTCACTCCTCAGCCTCGTAAAGTTGCTTGATTTTTGTTTTTTTTGTTTTTTTTTGTTTTTTCCTAAGTTTGAAATAATAAACATTTTGGGTTCATAAAAATTAAAAATAATTACCATTTTGGTAAGAAAATAATGAAACTTCTTTTGGTGAATAAACAAAGCACTATCCTCCACACAAGAAACTAAGGGGTCGTTTGGTACGGCGGACTGTCATGGACTGGAATAAATCCTAGGACTGTCTTGGATTAGCTCGGATTGGACTAAGCTGGATTAAGTACTGACCTACGTTTGGTGCTGCGTCGGACTAAGAAGCTGGATTGTAAAAGTAGTGAAGACCTATGTTTGGTACTGTGTCGGACTAAAAAATAATTCTTGTAATATTTAAATTTAATTTGAAATTTTGACCTAAAAATAAATAAATGCTACAAAGAAACACAATTCAAAGATTTAAAACAATAAAACAAATAAAATTATGATTGTTTATGAAGAATAAAATTTTGATTTTTTTTTTTTGGCTTCTCAAGATTTATCTTAGTTGCTCCTTAGCCTTGCCCCAAGACTACTACAAATCTTCTATTTTTTGTTGGTCGAAACATTACTAAGGAGCTAAACTCACTCTATATAATTCTACGTCTTTCATGGAAGACCAAGTAAAAAATAATTTAAAATATATATATAT